GTAGAATTTTGCAGGGTAAGATCGAGCTTTAACCATTTTATAGCACATACTGTTTTATACTATTTAGTTTCGGAAAATTTAATATACTGGTAATAATGTGCACTGTTTGTCAAACGTATCCAGAGCGCGTTTCTAGATGAAATAAGATCCGTATTGAAATGTATTCGTTGTAATAAATAATTAAGCCTTCCAGATGATGCAGTCATTGTCAAGTATTTGTCAAACGTAAATACAGGGTGTTTATTAGTACCTTTTGTGCTTAAAATTGAATGGATAATAGGTATGTTTAGTCAAAAATGACATACAGCGCGACACAAAAATGGTTGTTTAAATCCGAGTACAACACTGTACGTGGCGCCCTGTAACATTAAACAAAAAACTAACTAAATATTTGAGTTTCTCATCATCAATACTCCCAGTTTCCCGAATTTCGTCGAATTACTATCTTATTTAACAAAAATATAATCAAAATACCAAACACAAATTTTTTTTGGACGCTTTGTATCTCAAGAACCAAGCCGTTGCATGTTCATATAAACTTTTTATCTTAAAATTCACCCTTTAAAGTTTGTACAAGTACTTACTTAAAAAACACCCTGTATATGCCGTATCGTGTGGATGGTGCGTTTCGATACATTTTCCAAAGCTATACTAATGACACACCAAAAAAGATGTACCTAAGCTGTAGTACAACAACAATACAGGGTTCATTTCCTCAGACTGAAAATCGTTACTTCTCTACATTCGTAAAAAAGTGGTTGACAAGGGGAAATTGACCCTTAGTTAATTTTCTACTTTTTTTTTGCTAATTTTGAAGAATGTCTTATGGGCCGAAAAAATACACATTTCCGAAAGATTTTAGAAAAATGAATTTTATCTGCTCCCACTATAGTAAATAGACTATTAATACATAGTTTTTAAGGAGGTAAGTGGATTTTACCGTAGAAATGGAAGTTGCTATGGACAACGGGAGGTAAGTGAGGTAACTTACCTCCCTAGGGAAAAAAGCAATTTCGAGTTATAAATGCATATTTTATGAAATAAATAAAAATATTTGATGAACATTACATTTTATTAATCGTTATGAATGAATGTTTATAGTAATTGTACAGTTATTACACATAGTAACATTTCGCGTTACTAATTGTCACATTTCTCTCAAATGATTTGACCGTTCCATTTCAGTCACCGGAAGCTCAATATTATCGGACTGATCCATTAAAACACCATGATGCGACATACATATTACTAGAACCTGGAGTTGAAGTGTCATTGTAAAGAATCCTGTTGGTTATTTCATTTTCGTTACTTCAACTGTCAGCAACATAACTTTCTACAGTCGTGACTGATTTCCATCCACAATGTCTCTTGCTAATACATTAACTGCTGTAAAAGTCAGTAACGTTGCCGATGCTCTTCGGAATGAATGGTCTGTATATGTTTCAGGATGTTCTAGTTTCAAATTTTATTAGGAATCATAGAAAGGGTATTCTTGCCGACTGGTTGGTTGTAATATCTACCTGCTTGCTAGCACATAAAAAAGCATAAAATTTCAGTTTTAATTTCCAATCTAATCTTGGTATATTTCTTGAGAATTTCTAGGTGAGAAACAGAACCCAGACGAGAAGTAATTATAAACGTACGTGACATACCATTTTTAGAATCTGGAATTGTAACTACAATAATGTCATCGAAATTTTTGAAATTGACGTCCAAAGGAAGTTTGCATAACTCATCAGAACAGCATGCTCCTGCAATGCTTAAGACCGTCACTACATTCATTTGCAAATATGTGTTATCGGGTGCCTGAACGAGAAAATGTTCTCTTGTAAGAACGTTTGACGTTTTAGGTGTATAACCGTCATTCTTACGTTTCAAAAATGCTCTCAGCTTGGGGTATTTATACAGGGCGATTCAAGTTTAATCTGGATAACTTCAGGAATCGATAGAACAAGTTAAAATATTGTTCATTCATGGTATAAACTTATTCCCTAAATCGCACCGTTTCGGAGATAGAAGGCGTTGAAGTAGGAATTTTTTTCCGTTTTTCCCTCATAACTTTTGAACCACTCATCCGATTGAAGTGAAATTCGGAACACAACCACTCCTTATGATCTTACATAGGCTCCTTAAGTTTGAACCACCTACCCCTCTTAGAAGTGTATTTTGTGTGCTACCCCCCTCTTATTTATTTATTTATTTATTTATTTATTTATTTATTTATTTATTTATTTATTTATTTATTTCAATTCATGTCAATACACACCAGAGTATTTACACACGTCAAAAGAAAAGGAAAAGGACGTAACTTAGTACGCTGAGATTACTTACTATATAAAAATATACAAAAATAGGTAAAATCAATATAAAATAGTTACAGACTAACAACATCATTAAAAATACTACAAACATACAAAACAATACATGTAGATAGGTACAGATGATAAGAACTAACAAATAGTTAAAACTAACAAATTAAATATTGTGCAAGTCACTTGATAAAAACTGATTAAAATCATAAAAGGCGTTTCTCAATAAATAATTCTTAATTCTTTTTTTAAAAGTATTTATATTTAAAATCCTTACATAATCAGGGAGAGCAATAAAGAATTTTAAACCCCAATATCCTGTACCATTTCGTGTTCTGGTTAGTCTTAGATGTTTATTTGAGAGATAGTTCCTATTGCGGGTATTATAAGTATGAATTTCATGATTACAGTTAAATGACTATATTGTTTCTAACATACATAATACAGTTGAAAATATAAGTACATGGGAATGTGAGTATATTCAATCCAATAAACTGATCTATGCAGTCATCTCTATAGTTTAAGCTTGATATCACCCTGACAGCCTTGTGAAAACACTTGCCGGCTCGAGGGAGCGTGGCTTATATTTTTTCAAAACTTTAAAAAAATTAATTAATTTCAATAAAACAGCTACATACCACCTTTGCTTCATTAATTTTGAAACTTTTTCGTCTCTTGTTTTTTTTTTTCGATATTTGACCTTGTTTCTTAGATATTCAATGTAATTCGTGACATTGTAGCGCCCCAGCCACGTAAATTGTATACAGGTGATTAAGCTATAATCTGGATAACTTCAGGAATCGATAGAACAGGTTAAAATAATGTTAATTCATGATATAAACTTCACTACATATTATAAAACAAAGTCCTCCGCCGCGTCTGTCTGTCTGTCTGTATGTTCGCGATAAAGTCAAAAACTACTGCACCGATTTTCATGCTGTTTTCACCAATGGATAGAGTGGTTCTCGAGGAAGGTTTTAGTATATAATTTGTTAAGTTTTTGTATACATTAACGATATTTGAAGAAGGTGTCGGAAAAAAATAAGCCGTCTGGGAACTTTCAACGAAAACGCTGCCTAAACCTTTTGAGATATAACAAAATAATGTATGGTAGAATTGTGTATCTTATATAGGTCTACAGAAAAGTCCGCGATGGCATATGTCTACCTCTTAAGGATAACATACTATATTCATTTTAATACTTTAAAAAATGGGCAATTATAAAGCGGTAATGTAAAAGCTATTTACACAAATACGGTATTAATCCTTATCATTTTAAATACGTTAGTTGGCTTGAGCATTTCATGAAGATTATTTTTTCCCTTTACACCATGCAAATTAAATGAATACCTTAGGAGATATAGCAAACGCAACGAAATTAATTTCGTGTCGCCGTGATTCGACCGGGCCGCGTGGGCGCCCCGTGACCCGCGCCTCGCGTCCGAGCCGGGGGGGTCCGAAAGTTTATGTAGTATATCAAAGTATGGTGGAATTGTGTATCTTATATATGCCTACAGAAAAGTCCGTGATGGCATATGTCTATATGTTAAAGATAACATACTACCTATATTCATTTTAATACTTTAAAAAATGGGCAATTATAAAGCGGTAATGTAAAAGCTATTTACACAAATACGGTATTAATCCTTATCATTTTAAATAAGTTAGAGGCTTTAAGCATTTCATACACATTATTTCACTCTTTTACACCATATAATTTAAATGAATATCTTAGGAGTAATCGCAAAAAAATTACGGACGCGAGAATAAAATTCAAGCGCCTCGCTTCGCTTGATGCGATCGCCGACCCTCCCCCCGCACCGTCTTGCCTACTGTTTAGCTAATAAGCCGAACGATAACGCGCGCGTGATCCTTTAATAAACTGACTTGGAGCGAATGGAGGTGACGACTGACGACTGTGTTTTCTTTCTGGGTGTTGTTGGAAAGTTATAATTGCGTTCGATATTTTAAGGTCACATTTTTGTTTTGTATTTGTTGTCTTTAGGTAGTCAGAACATACATAGATACTTGCAAACATACTTTTATTTCATTGAGCTTTAATAATTTGTTTGTTTTTTTCTTATTGTGAATCATTTGAAACTTCATAGTCGCATTTTTGTTTCGTGTTTGTTTTCTTTAGGTAGTTAGATACCTAACTACTTCCTTATTAATTAAAATTGATAGTCCTGAACATAGGTACTTTAATTTAATTCGGTTTGTTTTCACATTGTTGGTAGTTACCTATATTGTTTTAAATTTAAAGGTTTTGCATTTTTAGTTTTGAGTTCGTTTGTTGTCTTTAGGTATATAGATATATCGTGAATTATTTTAAAATTAATATTAGGGTCGCATTAGATGAAAGATGATTGATTTTTTGTTTGTTACGATTTAACTCAAAAACTACTCAACCAATTTTACCAAAAGCTACATCTCCTCGGAGTAACATAGACTATTTTATATTTGCTCGTGCGAAGCCGGGGCGAGTTGCTAGTATTTCTTAAATCGCACCGTTTCTCATTTTTCCCTCATAACTTTTGAACTTAATAATACTTTTAACGATGATTTTCACAAACGTCAGTTTATACAAATCACTGTGAATTTTGTTTTTCATGGGTTGCTATAACGTTAAATGAAATTTACGCGGCTGGAGTGCTACCTCGAGCAACTTTTATGTATGTTATTTTGTTACAGAGGTGGAAAATGATTTGGCAAGCGGAACATTCATCAGACAATAGTGCACTAACCTACTGTGGGGGCACCGAGGTGTGACCTGAGAACATTACCCGTTCTTATACAATTGAATGGTTAGTTTAGATCTAGATTAAGAGTAACATAAGGATACTTATTGTTTTTTCAAACACGAACAAAATATCAGCCATATTTTGTTCGGTGTTGGTTTGTTTTCCTTTAATTTTGTTGTTTAGATGTCGTTAGGTAAAAAAAAAACTAGGAAATTAGCCATTTTTAAAGAGTACAATAACGTAATGTGTGTCTGTGTTGGTGTATACGACGTAGATACTCGCCAAATAGGTATAGCAACAGCCATTGCTATACCTAACGGTTTAGCATTGGTAAAAGGTGTAATAAGTAATTTAAATGTCCAGTAGCGTAGAATTTGTTCAACTCTATACGTACTTTGTACAAATTGATACCATTTTGTAGTCGTCTAAGAGATAAAATAGAAACTCCTGTAAATAGTTTCTTGTGGGTGTGGAAAAAATATTTCGCAAATATTGTAATCTCATTCTATTCTATAAGATTTGTATATCGTAGTGGAATAAATTTAAAGAAAGCTCAAATGTAAATTCAATGAGAATATACCCGTAATTTTAATTATTTACGCATATAAAATTGGTTCCTGTTTACACATAACAGTTTATTATGAATCCTTCAGCTGCCACTGATTTAAAATAGTAATCTTTCATTTTAAAATTACATCTAAAAGTGCGTTATTGCTATTGCTCAATATTATTATAGTCCAGGCGGCAGAGCATTCGAGGCGTTTGTATTTGAAGTTATTTATTTTGTTGTCTGTACAACATTTTTTTTCTGTAAAAATTCCAAATATTATGCAGAATAAGAATCCGAGTTTGTCTATTCCAAAAAAAACCATTGCTAAATTCAGGGGAACAACAAACATACAAAAATAACGAAAAATGACCCGATTTTCAACATATTTTTCCCTGTAACATTGAAAGTAAGCCCTAAAACAAAAAAGTCATTCTTTATTTTTTGTTTATTTGACGATTTTCTATAAAGTTACAACAACTGCGAATAAAAAAAGTTGAATTTTACATTAACAATGGGCGAAAAATCATGTGTATATTTGAAGCAATTTTTAAAATAAGTAAATATTTATAAATATTGATGAAATTTTGTGAACAAATAGTGAGACTTGACATTATGTCAATTCAACCCTAAAAATTTTGCAACGATCCATCGCGTGGTTTTCGACTGATAGGATTGTTAATTAAGAAAATTTCAAAACGTTTATCGCGTACCGTGATTATAAGTTAAGGTTTAGAAAGGACACACACATTTTTAGAGATACTTGTTGTCATAATAAACAATGATCAATACTAAAAATACCTATTTTTACACTTTTATAACTATTTTTTTTTTATTTTTCAACATTTTGCTCTATAAACAATTATTTATTGCCTAAGGAATTTTCTATGCAACAAAATCTTGCACACATAAAAACTACGTCGTAACGCCTTGCTTTTTAGCCAAATACGACAGCATTCTAATGTGTAGATTTTGAGATATAGAAGCGTAAAGTTAATAATAATTTATTGAAACTAACAGAGATCATTAAAATACGAAAATATATTTTTTAATTTAATCAATGAAACGTGAATTTTGTGGGATGTATTGATGAATACAAACTAATAAAACTTGATTACCGTAATATAACTATTTTTTAAAAGCAAACGAAAGTGGCATAATTCTTTAAACTCAAAATTCGTGCAAAAATTATTTATTTTCTTGATTTTTGATGACATATTATTCTTATTTTGCTATATCAAATTAAAAAACAAATCGTCTTGAAAAGTGCTACCGTTCCCGAGAAAAGTCATCTTTTATCGCACATACGCATTTTGAAACCCCAGTCATCCTCACTCCCGCTCTGCCGAGAAATTCTAGTGACCACGGTTGATTTTTTTTTTCATTAAGCTTTTATCTGCCGAAAATGCACTAAACGGATATTTTTTTTTCTCGACTTCACGATTACGTAAGCTATAAACTATTATTAAATTTACGCTTCTATATCTCGGAATCTACACAGTAGAATGCTGTCGTATTTGGCTAAAAAGCAACGGGTTACGACGTAGTTTTTATGTGTGCAAGATTTCGTCGATTGCATAGAAAATTCCCTGGGCAATAAATAATTGTTTATAGAGTAAAATGTTGAAAAATTAAAAAACCTAAATGGTTATAAAAGTGTAAAAATAGGTATTTTTGGTATTGATCATGGTTTATTATGACAACAATTATCTCTGTGCGCCCTTTCTAAACCTTAATTTAAAATCACGGTACACGATAAACTTTTTGAAATTTTCTTAATTAACAATCCTGTCTATCGAAAACCACGCTATCAATAGTTATAGCAAAATTTTTAGGGTAGAATTTACATTTGTTTTACTATTTGTTCCAAAAGTTTCATTAATATTTATAAATATTTACTTATTTTAAAAATTGCTCCCAATATACATATGATTTTCTACTATTTTTCGCCCATTGTTAATTCGTCAAATAAACAAAAAATAAATAATGACTTTTTTTATTTAGGGCTTACTTTCAATGTTACAAGGGAAATACGTCGAAAAGAGGGTCATTTTTCGTTCTTTTTATATGTTTGTTGTTCCCCTGAACTTAGCAATGGTTTTTCGGAATAGGCAAACTCGGATTCTTATTCTACATAATATTTGGGGTTTTTCTGTACAACAAAATATTTTTTTACTGCTCTACCGCCTGGTCTATTAGTTAAAATATTTAAAATGTGGTAAATTGTTAAAGTTATGTATCTGTGACAAGTTCAAAACTATTGTTATATTACCTAAAACGAAACACTGAATAACTGATTTAAAGTTCGCAAATCTATCAAATTTTCATTTGTCGATTTTTTTTATGCAATTTATATTTATTAGTAATCTAAGAAAAAAAGGAATTCAACAAAATTTCATGAAATTATTTGGATTGCCGTTATCTTTTTTGTTTTTTAGTTAATTTTTGTTATTTCTGATAGCGGAAACTTGATGAATTTGCTAATAAAATGACTAAAATCGCCTTACTGCCCCCTCAAGCACGTGTAATTATTGTTTAAATATAAGCTAGATAATGTATGTATAAACGTGGTACTATCATAGATTTCCTAACTGCGTTGACAATAAATTTTTGTTGATTTGTAGATAATGTATTTTGTCTTAGTATAAATGTTAGACTCAATGTTTGTTGCTGTGTAATATTTTTAATACTTGTCTTCGATTTTGTACGTTCTTAGAACAAATGTGGTTAACAATGATTAAAAAAAGTATGTCCCTAGACAAAATAAACAACATACATTTATCTTCTCAGTAACTATTCATCAAATTAAACAAAATGGCAGGATGGGTACTAAAACAAAATTAGGGCCTAATGTTTGTGATACCTAATGTCAACAGTGTTAAATGAAATAACAGCCATATTTCGTTTAACAATTCGTGGTTATTATTTTTTTATGCTTCGTTTCATTGATCTAAAACAACGACAAATGAAGAATAGCACAAGTGGAATTGATAATACAGTAAAAATGTTAAATATTCTTCATAAACAATGTATGTGTCAAGTTATTATGTCCAGGGGCAAACTCTCTAAGGCAACAGTTAAGTTTGATTAAATAATTTATATGAGTAGGATAATTTTTTTAATATTTCATAATAATACTTCACTTTTACGGATAATACATGTACAGTTCCTGATTTCTCAGCCATGACATTTAAGAACATGTTTCAGTAACTCTGTATTTTTACAAATTTTATGTAAACTCTCCTCAACTTTTTAATAAACTTGTTTATTTTTTGTATTACTCAACTGTAATTTTCTCATGTCCTCACCACATATTACCAAGAAAATTAGAAAACCATTTTTAAATCATTAGAATTGATGTCCCAAAATAACAATCAGTTATTAAAAAAATATGTTAAATACTTACGTTTTAAAAATTGTAGTTAGCGATCAAATTAAAGGTGGACAAATTTTCGTGTTGATAAAAGCCTGATTAATTTTAGCAAAGCGCAATCAACGCGTGCCGTCGGGAGGAATTGGTTTATTAAATCCTATATAAAAATGTAGATTAGGTATCCCAACCAGCAAAACAGTTTTATAATTTTCAGGTTATACGACAATTCTGTTTTATTGCATTATTATTATTGCTATCGAAAGAACATTTTAGCAGCTAAATTATAAAACAGCTTATATGGCAAATATATAACTATATTATAAACATTTCTGTAATAAGCTTATAAAACATTTTAGCTAATAATACTAAAGTATTTTATACAGTATTTCTAACCGAGCTATAAATATATAATATAATTGTTTCTTAGATGTGGGTCGTCAACTTATAAAACTATTATATTAAAAGGTACTTTGAGACAATTTCTCTTGTATGATCAAATAGCTGTATTATACACTATAATATAGTTATTATGTAATAATATTATCAATTTTAAACAAAATACTAATATAACAATTACAAGAGAAAAACGTTTAGTTTGACTCAAAATTACATTGACAAACCATTCTATAAAACAAATTTGAAACAGCAAAATGGTGGGATATTGTTTTGTGTCATAGCGAACGGTAAAAGAGTAGTTTTATCTTTTGCTTCAGCTTTCACAGTCGTTTTATAAAAATAAACATGTCAAGTTTAAGCTAGTGGAAAAAATCAAAAGAAGTGACGTATTTAGAAGAAAAGTAAAGAAATGTTCTAGAAATAATTCTACAATGAAACATTTGAAATAACAAGGAAAGAAGTTTATTTTTTTACTTGCCTGGCCGTCTCTGTGCATAGTGATTGATACTAGAAAATTTAAATAATATAGTTTTCTGGTGGCCAGTTCGTTTACAGAGAAGCAAATGAATTTTTGTCCGCCATTAAAAATGATAGTTAGGGTGTCCCGTTAAAAAAATGCAAGTTTGCTTGACAATGTGATATTTCTAAGAGAATGGGAATTACTTTAACTCTAAAATAAAAGAAATCCTACTTTATCTCACCCGTTTAATTG